CCCCAAAACCCCAAAACCCCAAAACCCCAAAACCCCAAAACCCCTTGATGGTCCTAAAATTGAAGAGTAATTATGATTAAAATAATAAAGTTAAGGAGCTGACAAAAATAACAGGGATAGATGCAGCTGTCATATATGCCAATCCAGGAAGTCTTCCATTCCAGAATTGTGTTGTGATCGTTTTTGCAACACATCTATCATTATTAGCAAATAAATGATATCCAAGGTTTTCGTCAACTGCAAATATTGACTGGTTAAACTTGTAAATAACATCTTTATCTATGTTTTTAATGAAGTCTTTGCAGCTTTCAACATCACTCATGGTGTGACAGTTAAGGTCAGCCAAGTCAGTTTCGGTAAAATTTTGAAGTCTTTCTTTAAACCATTTATCACCTTTCCTCATCATTCAATAAGCTCCAGTATTTCTATTGAAACCACATCTTGCAACATCGTTGGAAAGCTCTCCTTCTATAGGAAATTCTTCTGAAAATTTTGTATATTTTCAAGTATCTCCTGGAGCCTCTCTAAAATAATCCTCCTGATTTTGACTAATATAAGCTTTTCTGCAGACTCTTACATTGGTCTTATCTGTTGAAGCAGAATTATAACTGAGGCACATGCTATTGAGACCATTCCAAATATTTTGACCATCTGTAATCCTGTCTGTTGCAAATTTCACTTCATTACCAATAGAATTCAAAGGAGTTCATCTATAATCATTTAGAGCTGTATTCTGAGCAATACACCTGAGCCCAAATTTGCAAGCATTATCTTCATCACAGGCGACATCTTCCCTGCTTTGTTCAGTACAGACTTCATTTCGACAGAATGTTCCAATGGGACAATACTTATGTTTCTCATCCCCTTCTATATTTGGGCAGGAATCTCCAGAAGATTTAGTGGTGGTACAGACCTCTTCAGTGCATGAGACTTCATCTGTGCTTCCAAATCAATCCTCATCTTTCTCACAGATATCACCAGGGAGAGCCTTCTTTATTGGAGCAACTGTCTCCACACAGTAATCTGTTTCTGCTTCCTCAGCTTTTCTCCATTTGATTGCATTACAATGGTATTGAGGGTCAAAGCAGTAATCCACATTGAAATGACCATCTTGGAAGTTTTCTACTCATTTCTTCTGGCTTTGTGGCTCTTGGTTGATATTCCCACAGCCAAAGATGAGACATTCTTGGGTCCTAACCCAGACTCAGACGATTAGGAGTGTAATCACAAGTCCTAATTTCATGATTTAGTAAATTATTTATGTAATGTAAATTCAATACTATTAAGTCTTGAGGGGTTTTGGGGTTTTGGGGTTTTGGGG